TTTAGCGGTATTTTTAACATTGCCATATAAGCGGGAGGTTTGACCAGCCATAAAACCAGGTTCAACCCACCATTTTTTTCTTAAAATGTTCTGTACCAAGTCAGGAATATGACAGTTATTATATACAGTCCGTTTTTTTTTGTATGTTGGCGTTTGCTTTTGTTGTAGCTCAGTGTTTCTGTTGTGCCGTTGTTTTCCTCTTATAAATGATGTGTTTCCCTCGGTTTAAGCTTGTTACCCGGGTTTGTTTTTGCTTAATCGAATTATGACTATTGAACAGCGGTATACTACTGTTGCATTTATTTAGAGTTGTCTTGGCTATGATAATATTGTATTTGTTGTCTGTTACATTATGGGATGGACAGGGATGATAAGCGACGATACTTTATAGTAGGGTCTGTTATACTGGAGGTTGTAACACCACTGTTCAGGAGCAAACTTGAAAGAGACTACACCAGTAAAGGACTAACATCTCTTACAGGCTTTCCTCAACACACAGCCAGTAATACACATCCTGTTTCATCTACGACACAGAAATGCACGGTGCTGTGTTGATGGACTAAACTGTTATAACCATCTATCATTACCACTCATCTATTGTCAATGGAAAAGATTATATTCAGAGAAACCTGGCAATGCCCTTCATGATTGCCACTGCAAGTTCACAGCCAATCCTGTTCAACTTGAAGAACTAGATATTACCTTATCCAGTCTGATTTTGTTGAACTGCAATAATCTGACACCAGCTGAGAATGCTGCAGTACAAGGCTTACGACAATATAAGAATGACTACCTGAGTCACAATACCACAGGCAGAATATCACAGACAGAATACAACAGCTTATGGACAGACTTGACAAACTTTGTCCAACAACTTGACCCTAGTAAACAAGATGATATGACGAGGATGGAGAGAAGGCCATTGGGTGAGTCTTTATGTAACAACTACACCCTTAATCTACTAGACATACATAAGAAGCTTGATGAGGAAACTTTCAATATTTTTTTATTGATCAATATATAAAAAAAAATATAAATTTATCTCATGACACATTTCATTTGTTGATGGTCATATAAACAGAATAAGTGGAACAGTCATTCAGAATGTCAGAGAGATAAACATTGGCATTCAATATGGGCTGATACTTTCAATTTGTGAGGCAAATACTAATATTTTTAATTTATGATAGCTGTTCTTATGCGTATCTTACAATGAAAACAAATGACAACTAAAACTTGTGGGACAACCAATAAATTCATGACATTTAACATTACACTTGTTTCGTGACACATAACTTACTTTTTGTTAAATCAATCTCTTAGAATGAAACCTCATGCACCTGCATGAGCTGTTTTTTTTTTTATATTGCTTACAACCTTTTTGATTATACATAATGTCCCTGATCTGTATTGATATGATGATGCAATGTCACATTACAGGCACTCAGGAATTAAGACTCATATGGCATGTTTATGTCTAGTTTTTTTTTCATTTTGTGGGGAAAATATTGCCTCATGTTTGAAAAATACATTTTCTAAAGATGTAATATCAGGTAAATGAAGATTTTTTTTCTTTTCATCAATGCATAAAATTAGATTGTCTGTTTAAAAAAAGCTGTATATGTTTTATTCGATTTATATAAAACAATGGACAAAAGTATAACTTTTGCCACTTGAATGACAATTTTCAACATATCCTACAAGGGACTGATCTAAATCCAAAAACATGACATGTGGATTTTTCAGGATATCATGTTATCTGAATTAAGATATTTAAAACATTATAAAGGTTGATTTTGTAAAAAGAATTATATGATATCCTTCTTTGTTCATTGTAATATTCATGTAAACCAATTCCTGGTGGATTAATTATTAATTGTTTGTCTAATGTCCAGTGGCAAATATTTCATATTCAGAAAGATTCCTGCTTATTTTTGTTGATATTTGATTTCATTTAGCAAAGTGATTTATTTTGATATATTATATTCTTAAAAATAATATAACTACTAGAATGATTACAGAAACATCAAATAAGTATATCTTAGATCGGTCTGATATATGACCTATCTATGTAACAGTTAAATATTTAAATTAAGTAGAATAAAGTGAAATATGGTTGCCTTTACAGGAAAAAGAAATAGTATTAGCATACATAGTCTATGTTTTTACTTTATTTTCAGATTGATACTTCAATTCAATGATACAATCTGATATATACAAGGACAAAATGCTTACATGCAGGTAGATATATCATTACATTCATTTACATTTGCTTTATCTTGCTGACTTTGTATCTTGGAAAAAAAATAATGTGATGTAGTATAAAAGCCAATGAGACATATTTGGATTTACATTCTGAAAATGTCTTTCTTTTTGGAAAAACATCCCAATACAGATCAGATATAGAAAAAGGATTAAGTATTTTTTCCTTATTTACTTAAATACTGAAAACTCAAACTTATTAATCAGATGTAAGGAAAGTCAAAGTTTTTCATTCCTAAAATACCTGCTTTAGTTTGACTGTTGTTTGTTTAACGTCCAGTATCAAATACGTCATTTATATTCAGAAAGAAAACAAATAAACAATAAATCTTATAGGTAAATTTCCGGTATTGGGTTGACATGAATGAATGTATCAATTTTGACTGTCACTGAACAATGGGGTATTTTGGATAGGAACAGAAATTTTGCCTTTCAACTGGCCAACATTAAACCCCTTGGAAAGTTTTAGTGAGGGTTCCTTAATATTGAAAGAATGAAGCACTCTCCTTACATCAGACATTATGAACATCCCTATTCTGATCGGACATGGCCTGGCTTTCAGTAATCAAGAGCAGCCAATCAGACATCCCATCATTAGCAAGAATTTGTTTGCCAGACAAGATTCAGGGATGACCATATTTTTATACCCCAGACAACCAAGAAATTTTTAACTTGTCAGAACATTTCAACAACATTACCAAAATTTCGAATTTTTCATTCAATTTTTTTATAAAAAAAAATCACAGTAGCCTATGTTTTATGGTGTGATTTTGCTACATCAAACCATATCTCAAAATCACAAAAAACACAATACAATGTAGAAACTGTATTACTCCACTTATATGAGTTGTTTTTAATATGTTGTTATAATTTTATTACTTTACAGGAGATATTTTTACACATCAGAAAATATAAGTGCTTTTGTTTGTGTGGAAACTTAGAACAACAAAGTATGTATAATTATATTGGTAGTTAAAGACTATATAAAGGTTACTAACAGCCATGTAGGATAAAACAATTTGTGTTCCTATCAAATGACAACATGGTACTATTGGACAAAGGACCTACTTAAACTTTAAGGACAGTTCATGAGAAGTCTTGTCATGATGTGCAACTGTATTTTTATACAAATGATCTCATAACTGAAAATAACTGTTTACATCACACAAATGAAAACTGAAATGTTCCATTTAGTATTCATCCTGAAAAAAACTACATTCTTTAAAAAGACCATTCATTAACAATTGTGAATACAAGACTATGGTGTATGGTTTTGCTAACACTGATAAAGTCTGGTTGCTACAGTTAATATATTCAGATGATCATATGTAAAGTAAGTTATAAAATACAATAACACACACTATATGTATATACAGCAAACACAACAACCAAATATGTTGCACTTCCTACTTCCAGACAAAAACCCAAGATACATAAAACCATACACACTAGGACAAGATGTTTTCCAATTATATCATCAGATTAACCTGACATCAGAAACTTCTGATGGTATTTATGGAATGGTATCAGATATAGTAATGATGATGGATGATGGTAGACTGGTGATTTGTTTAACTGACCAGTGGAGACTACTGATTTGTAATACAGATGGATCAGAGATGGACAGTATAGATGTACTGGATAGACCAGTGTGTGTTTCAGCAGTCAACAACTCTACAGTAGCTGTTACACTGTTTTTTGATAAGTGTCTTGAGATGTATGACGTTAACAATAAATTAAAACTTAAATCAATATCAGTACCTGGAATGTTGTGGCCGAGAAGCATTACAACTATAAATAACAAGTTAGTTGTATGTGGTGAAAACAGACTAATGATGATAGATCATCAGACAGGAGAAGTGGTACAGACAATAAAGACTGACTTACAAGTTGCATGGTTCTGGTGACGGAATATTCTACTGTAATAGCTACTACAACAACAAGCTGTATTGGTATAGTTATATTGATGACAGACTTTACACCATAACATTACCATCACAACCAAGGAGGATGACTACACTGCGGGAAAGCAGTCTGTATGTGAGGTGTAAAGATGGATTAATACAACATGTATAATCTGATGGTAAACTGTATAAACCTGTTACAACAAAGAGACTTATTGATTGTTTGGCATATAATCCAAAGCAAAGACAGCTGGTTACAAAGACTAAACACCAGAGAAAATTTAATGTCGTCTATGAGAAATGATGCAGTCTAGATTATACAAGGAATTTTAACATTTTAGGAAACAATATGGTATTCAGCTTTGAATGAACAAGATACACAAATCCTTTAATTCAAGTTTGTGTGATAATAAAATGGTGGCATCATCTCATTTACAAATAAAAGAAGAATGTATCTGAGGACACGAATGCCCCCGCTTAAGTTTTTACACAAACATGGGACGGACGGACGGACGGACAAAAAGACGAACGGTTAATGGTAACACTTAATGCCCCTGTTGCCTACGGCGGGGGCATAAGAATGAAACCAATAAATTTACATTCAGAATTTTCTGAATTTTACAGTCAAGTCCTAGACATACAGAGATATCATATCCTGAACTACTTATTTAAGCTTCTTTAATAATTCATATTCATCATTATTATCTTAAATGACCTAACAAGTAATGTTGGTTGGTTGGTTGCTTGTTTTTATCTACCAGTTATCTATCTTTATCTACCATTTATCTATCTTTATATACCATTTTTTCAATCAACTTTTTATTATAGAATAGGTCATACAGCTACATTCTGATGATCTTCAGTAGATTCTTTTCTCTTTATACTGATATTCACCTTTTGAAAAGGTTATGCCATGTGGATATGATGACTTTTGATACTTATTTTTTCATTGGAAAAGTCAAAACTTATTACAAGATTATGTAGATGGTAGCCTTTTGCTTAGAACTTTCCTGCTTGAATAAGTTCAAAGTTTGATTATTTGCTGATTCAGTTTGCAATTATGAATAAACAATTTTGTTTTGATGCTGTGAATACTGTTCTTTATTGAATGCTTGTAGATCTATAATAAGCATTAGTCTCATATTTTTTTTGTTTTTATATAACATCTACCGGTATTTGTTTAGGATACTAAGCTAATATGGATGTTGTATGCTTGTCATTTGAGAAATTTACCTTATTAAGCAAGACATTTTGTCAACACCTCATATGTCTAACTATTGTAATAAAATTGAGAATGGAAACCGGGAATGTGTCAAAGAGTTAACAACCCGATCAAAGATCAGAAAACAGCCCAAGGCCACCAATGGGTCTTCAACACAGCGAGAAAATTCCGCACCCGGAGGCGGGCTTCAGCTGGCCCCTAAACAAAAATGTGTACTAGTTCAGTGAAGTTCATAAATTTTTAAGCGCATTTGTAAACACATAAAAAAGGCTTCCAAATTTATAATGCAATTTTTTTAATTTTGCAAAACCTATCCTGTGGCAATTTTCTCAAACGTTTTTGAAATTACAGTAATGGTCTTGTTATGCCTTTATTTGATATTTATCATGTAAATGCACACAGCTATATAAGGAACAAAAGAGCGTTTTTTTAAAGGGGCAGGTTAAGTTATAACCTAACTGGATCTGAAAATGTTGATACTGAAGATACAGATAGGAAACAAAACATGATAGAAAATATTTTCATGTTGGCAATCACAAATAATAATGCTGCAGACAATTTGGTGAAAGTGTCAAAAATAGTTCCAATCTTACATTGGCTTGTTCTTTTCATCCTTCATTGGATCTCCAATCAGATGAAAGAATTAAGTAATCCCATCTTGCATAAAATCTCTTAAATTTACATGCCCAAAACCAAAATTCAAACTGAATGTGAACTGTATTTTATGTTTTATATCATTGTGTTTAAATCTAAAATGATTTTGTAAAATGCTACTTTCATCATCATCATGAAACAAATAAAAATCTGCGACCTTTTTATTAAGTTGATGACTCAGTTTACGTTACACCACATATTCTTTAATGTATAGTTCAATGTTTAGGATTAAGTTACTAGAATTATTTTTCTATGCCAAACAAGCTTGAAGCAGCCAAGTCAACAATATTAAGATCTTCAGAATTAAATGCATACTAATTAAACATTCAAAACAAACACTTTCTTAACCTGATAGAAGAAGAGACGAATATCGAATTAAACATCTCTGGCATTTTATACAATTAAATATTCAACTAAATTTATCTTTATGATCATGAAGGAGAGGCGGGTTATACCAAACGAATATTAAAACTTCTAAACTGAAGACAAACTGGCAATGTCATGGCAAAAAAATAAAAAAAGACAAACAACAGTCTACAAAACACAATATAGAAAACCAAAGACTGAGCAACAAGAACACCAGCCAAAATGGGGGATGGTCTAATGTGCTCCAAAAATACTTTTATGTGATTTATGTTGTTATTATTTTGTTTTGTGAAAAAGGTTCCTTATTCGATCACTGAATGAAACACGTCCTGAATCAACATCCTTCATATATATATGCTCCATACATATAATCAAAGAAATGACGACAAGCTAAATCTGTATCTGTCCCATGGAATGAAACACGTCCTTCATCTACACTGTGCGTGGGTCTTTCTACTAGCTGCAAATTTTTGATAACTAGTTCAAGGAATAATAGACGATCTTACAACTAAAACAATTTGAATGTGTCATATTTCCCACAAAGATTAAATAAAGGTCACACAACTAATGAAGGCGTTCGAAAAAAACGTTGAAAAGAACTCTACAATAGAGAGGCGAAATATACCAAGGGAATATTCAAAATCGTAATTTGAAAACAAACTGACAATGCCATGGTAAAAGAAAAACGAAAACGACGAAAACACAAACAGTACACAAAACACAAAAAAAAAATAAAGACTGAGCAACACGCACCCCACCAAAACCCGGGTGTGATCTCAGGTGATCCTGAAGGGTTACCAGATCCTGCTCCACATGTGGCAAACGTCGTGTTGCTCATTTTAGTACAAATCCGGTGATAGGTCTTATAACATTATTAAACCACTACAGTGACAAATTGAATTCAACTCACTGGTATAAAAAAATGTCATCATTTTAAATTTTTTTCTCAATTTTGTATTTAAAGTTTTATATGTATATTGGTGTATTATTAACAGATTGGTTATATAAAGTACACTTATCTTTTATATTAATTCTTTTTGATAATTAATTAATCAATACGTTAAATAATTAGTGGGAAAGACATGATGCTACATTTACATGAATTTTTCAATAAATCCTGGTTGAATTTTGAAAATTTAAAGAACTTGCGACAGGTTTAGGATATCTTTGCTAAGATCATCCTAAGACAGCTTGGAGGAGAGGTCTGAGATATGTACTAGAATAGTCATAAGGAGATCATTAGACATGTCCTAAAATATATTTTATAACTGAGGATAGCTTCGTAAAAGAAGCCCCTGTTTTGTACAGACACTTTTAAATGAATAAGGTTTGTTTAAACTAGTGGTATATAACTGTAATACTGTACCTGTACCAAAACTTGGATACAACTTGTTAAGTTTTCCTTTTGATAACTTTTATTTATAACTGAGGATAGCTTCGTAAAAGAAGCCCCTGTTTTGTACAGACACTTTTAAATGAATAAGGTTTGTTTAAACTAGTGGTATATAACTGTAATACTGTACCTGTACCAAAACTTGGATACAACTTGTTAAGTTTTCCTTTTGATAACTTTTATTTATAATCCCAACAATGTACCCACATACGTCATGAACTTTCTGCTAAAGATATTGTTCATTTAAAGAATAACTCACTTAAGTCTGCATGGTAAAGGTTAATATATAATATATTGTTAGATTACTGTCTCATTATGTAAACTTAACAATTACTTTATTCATTTTACCTAAACAAAAATTCTAGAGCTAGGAAAATTGCCCTGTAGTGTAGATGAGGTTGAGGAATATTGTTATTTAAACTACAGTAATCCATCTTACTCTTTAAAATTTCGAGAATATTCTCTATTCCCTATTTACAAATTAAAACTGCTAACTAGTCACCTTACCTCTTTTCCAGAATAGTCCTTGATAACTTTCCTCAGTTCCTGTTTACTGAAAGCTAGCTGATATCCAACTTCTTCTGGTATGACACCTGAGGCAATTTTACTTTCTACATTCAAAATATTGATGTGTAAACATTATCTTTAATCTTATTTCTCAAAACGCTAAGAACCTAGATTTTTGTTTTTCAAAATAATTAGTTGACAGATAGTATCAATTAATCCTATTTAATATCTATTATCTAACAATTTGTTACATGAATTTGGTTGGGCATTATAAGATGGAGGTAAGCAAGACAGTTATTTTTCAATCAAGAACAAGATTGCCACTGAATGTTTTGTTTTATTCCATATTGATAAAACTATAGTAGGTTTTTCTATATGAATGGGATTTTGAATGAAATGAGCAAATTACCTGCAAAGAAATGTTTGATGTATAAATGTTTTTTTGTAAATAATTGCCATTAAGAACATTTCCATCAGAATATGAAATAAACAAATACTGTCTTTTGTTTCTGTGAATATGTGGTTTAATTGACTTTTCAAAAAAAAGATATTCACTTCGGCCGTTGGTTTCAGTGAATATGAGTTTTTCAAAAGTCAATAAAACCACATATTTACCTCATCAAAAGACAATAATTGTAAAGTATTGTCCATCTTATTGTTTAAGTACAAAACAGTGTCCGTGATATATTGGCAAAATAAAATGAACATTCTGCTGATTGTTCCTCATAATCTAAGTCATTCGTTTCAGGTTGTACATTGAAATCTGGATGCAAGGAACATTTTGAAGCGTTTTAAATATGGAAGAAAATACACATTCTACTCTCCGTGTACTTTTTTCATATACACATTTCTTATTTAAACAAAACATTAACTTATATACAGTTTCCAATAAACGTAAAATTTCAATACTGATACAAATAATAGCATATTGAGATATCATTTATACATCTGAAATATAAAAGGTGCTGATAATTATAACAGAAACTGTAAACAGCATTTTTGGAAGGCTTTTTAAAAACTTGTCAACATGTGGTATTTGCATGATATAAGCAGTGATTTTGTATACTGATTATAAGTTGATTTCTTTTAAACACATGAACATCACTAATTAGCCATATTTGTATATCAAGTTATTTAAACATGGCTTGTATAACTGAGCTGCATTGTCTAGTTTATTCATTGAGGTAAATTAACAATGAAGTAAAACTTTTCATGCAAAAAAAATCTTCTTTCATTTTACATTAAATATACTTACAAAACATGTGATGAAAATTTTTTGAAATAAAATAAAGTGTCTATTGGACCCAGGTTATAAGGCTGATTTTATATATATGCAATTGTATTTGAACTATGAAATATTATTTGCATTCCTTACAAAAGAAACACATTATATACTATAATCTACATATGGTCATTAAATGTAGTTAACCTCATTCATTTATCATGCCTTCTCATAAAATAAGATTAAATTCCTCAAAGATTCCTACCCCTACTACATTATTTATACACATAATACATGAGAAGCTTATCATGTTTATATTAGGCTAATTTTTGCCACTTAATTTCAAAATTCATTAGGGAATATAAATCTACAAAATGACATCTTTCAGATAATCATAAGTCTCTCATACATCAGTATCTATATTTTTGAAATGAGTCTGGCATATTTGAATAAGGGCTTCCTACTTCTCGTATATAGTGTTAAGATTGACAAATAGGACTCATTATGAAATCTTGACACAAATATTTAGATGTGAGCCAAGTCTTTGCCCAAAAAAATTGTTTGGTTCAATATAAATACCATAAAGAAGTTTGAAATATCTTTTTATGACGTTGTGGCTCATCTAGATATACTCATTGGCACTCATTCCATATCTTCGTAGTACAATGTGTGTCCTCATGTTTGTTTTGTATGCTCTTATATTTTTCAATTGTGGGTTATTTGCCTGTGAGAGAGCATTCACATGTTTATTGACTTGGAAGGAGAGTTGTCTCATAGGCACTCATATCACATCTTCTTATTTGTATATATTGTCAAAAAAGGGTAGAAAGGGTCAAATATGTCAATTTTGGCATGTAAAAGAGGGACGAAAGATACCAGAGGGACCGTCAAACTCATAGATTGAAAAAAAAACTGACAACGCCATGGCTAAAAATAAAAAGACAAACAGACAAATAATAGTACAGAAGACACAACATAGAAAACTAAAGACTAAGCAACAACGAATAAAAAATGGGGGTGAGCTCAGGTGCTCCGGAAGGGTAAGCAGATCCTGCTCCACATGTGGCACCCGTCGTGTTGCTTATGTTATTACAAATCCGGTAAATTTTCTAATTCGGTAGGTCACATTCATGAAAAGGGAAGGGTATTTTTTGTTACGACATAAGGAACATATCCGATATCATCTGTGAAACGGTTATTCCATAACTGTCAACCAACTCGTGATGGCGTCCGTAAAATATACAAAGGGATGATTTGGAACTCTTGGTTTAATAGCTTCCTTGTGAGCAGCAATCCTTTGTCAAGGAAATCATGATAGGAAATACAAGCCCGGGAATATCGTATCAATTGAGAGATATATACTCCGTATGCAGGCTCTCCTAGAATGTTGCTACAAAGAAATAGAAAGTTCACAATTGGGAAGCTGAAATCATCTCTTGTCGTAAAGTTTTGTTTTCAACCGACCCTCATTGTCAATTTCTAGATGTAAGTCAAGATATGAGGCAGACTTAACTGTGTCTGTAGTATCCTTTATCTCTAGTTCGATGGGATAGATTCGTTCAACATAGTCACCAAAGTTTGTATTATTTAGTGAGAGAACATCATCTATGTAGCGGAACGTAAAGTTAAAGGATATTGCTAACTTCTTAACTTTCTTGATAAGAAGTTCCTGTATGAAGTCAGCCTCATAATAATAAAGAAACAAGTCGGCAAAAAGAGAGGCATAATTGGTTCCCATTGGAATCCCGACAGTCTTTTGAAAAACACGTCCTCCAAACGTAACAAATATGTTGTCAATCAAGAAATCAAGCATCTTGATAATGTCAGTTTCAGAGACTTTTTTGTTTGAATCAGAGTGATTCTTTACAAAGTAGGATTTATCCCTCACCAAGACAAGATACTTGTATCTACGTTCGCCATTCTTTTTAATGAAACAAAGTAATACCAACTCTTTCAATTTGTCTTTTAGTTTGGAATGGGGAATACTTGTGTAAAGTGTAGAAAAGTCAAATGTTTTAATACTATCGCAAGATGAAAGAGTCTTAGATTGTATGTACTCTAAAAGATCTTTGGAATTTTTTAGTATCCACATCTGATTCACGCCACCTCTGGAATAGGCAGTTTCACAATAACTTTGAAGCCCGGGTTTGATTGCTGATAAAATAGATGTTAATAATTTAGAAAGAGGTTTCGTGGAGCACTTGGAAGACCCAGCAATATACCGTTGTTTGTAAGGACACTTATGTAGTTGAGGTATCCAATACAGTGATGGAAGATCCAGTTCTTCATCTTTGGTTGAAATTCCAAAGGAATATAGAACAGACCTATGATTATCAAGGATTTCCTCTTTGGTAAGTGTCGTGAGGGTATATGTTGAGTTTCCAAGTGAATTGTCAATACCTAATTCATTTATCAAGCAGTTTATGTAATTATATTTACACACAAAAACGATGTTGTTTGGGGCTTTATCTGCGGGGACAATAACATATTTGTCATGGAGGTAGGACAAGTGTTTTGCAACATTTGGGTCTTTAAAAATTGACGTAGCGTGGGTATTGATAGACCCATTTAGTTTCTTAATTCGGATTTGTATCAACGACCTCACAGCCTTACTCCATTCGGAAAGAGTATCTACGTCTTCTTTCTCGCGTTTAGCCCATTGCCTGGCACAATCCTAGACTCAATCCATCAGTATTTTAAAGTTGTATTTCCAATTGATGGATTTAGGCTCACGATATTTCGGACCTTTGGATAACAAATTTCGCAGGGAAGTGTTATTGACAATGTTGAGGTATCCGGTAATAACGTGACCAGCCGGATTATATGTGAATTGGGAACTAGCACAGGTGCAATCAGGAGGTATAGACTTGAAGTCGTCAATGTTGAGATCGTGCAAAACGTGTTTGTAACTGAAAATTTTAATTGCAATTGGTTTGGTATAGGTATAAGAAATAATTGGTACAGACTGATTTTTAAAATAAGGAGGTATTTTCGACTGAACTAATTTGTGATGAAGGATATTGCCTAAGTTGACGCCATCGAGCCCTTTGTTGGAAAGTTTAAGAAAAGTAATGACATCACAAGTACAAATGAAGTATAAGTTAACCATGGCATAAAATAAAATTGAATACCCTTCATGTAACATAAGGAAAAAGACCAAAATACAAACAAAAGTACACAAAACACAACAAAGAAAATTCAAGAATGAGCAACACGAACCCAACTAAAACCAGGGATGATCTCAGGTTTTCTGGAAGGATAAGGAGATCCTGCTACACATTTGACACCATGAAAACTAACTTGTAACTTGTAATTTTAATTTTAATAGAACTATATTTAAAATACATATATTTACCTAACATTACAACTTCTCTTGGAGTTTTCCCATGTTCTGTTGATATCCTATCAATTTGTTGATATACAACTTTTACTAGAGCAGAGTAAGACTTGTCTAGATGTGTGTGTCTATCTGATACTTTAAATATATTCTCTGTCTGATTAGCAAACTCCTGCATAAAATAAATACAATTATCATTACTCAAATAACTTGTCTTTTACAGGAACCCTTCTAATCTAACATTTAATCATAACTGTGAGAATCCTGTTTCAGAAATCAAAATAACAATCATTATGTTATAATGTGCACCAAATTTACTGCTTTAAAGTCTAAATAATATACAGTCGTCTAACTGGTTTTGTCACCTCCTTTTTTTCCTTGATCCAAAGTGGAAATCAACATAAATATTAAAACCAGATCGTGATTGTTCTCTCTCTCAATTTATTCTTTAATCAGGAAATTGTATTATATTTACATGTCTTGTTTTGTTAGGATTCTATCTCATTGTTTATTTTTATTTTGTTAATAATCTATCTAATTGATGTTTCATAATCATTTACTGTAAATTCAGAAATTATTGCAAGGTTTTTGTTATTGCGAAAAATGCGATAGGGTTAAAATCGCAATAATTTAAACTCCCATTTTGAAATTTTTGATATGAATTAAACAGGAAATCGCATTTAAGTGTTAAATGACAAAATTGCAATAATAAATGCACGCAATAATTTCTGAATTTACAGTAAATAGGAGGCTTTTTCTGTCTATATCTATATTTTAAAAGCATTTATCAACATGAATACTTCTTGAATGTCTGTCTTTCTGCCACAAAATAATGTTTTTATCTAACAACTAGAATTTTTATTAGAAATATAATTCAATAAGCATCCTTACCCCAAAGTTGTGTACAAATCCAATGATACCACATCTGCTTTTCTTCTTAACTTTATAATCTTCTATTGCAGCTATTTGGTTTTGCTAATAAGTTGTGAAAAAAATATTAAAAGAATAAACATAACTCTAATCTGCATCTTAAGATTGTCAAGTCACCTTTTGGTATAGCTGTTATGTTAAGTTTGTTCATTTATATATTTATAGAGGTACCTTATTTTTGAACTAACAAGTGCTTGTAAGCTAAATATCAGAGGATTGTTTAGTAAACTACTGTATATTTTTCATAGTATATTATTCATTCTTTGTAAGTCTCGCATTCTTTACTAACCATTGATTTTATGTTGATAGTCCTAAATATAAAGCGTTACTACAACTTTTACATAAACCTAACTTGATCCAATAAAATGAGGTCAAGGTCAGATAAGACATGAACTCCTTACAATCATTCAATTCCCCAAATATAGTTGACCTTGTTCACTGATCCATGAAATGAGATCAAAGTCAAATGAAAACTGTCTGATGGACATGAGGACATTGAAAGGTACGCACATACCAAATATAGTTATCCTATTACTCATAATAAGAAAGAAATTAATATTACAAAAGATCTTAACTTTTTCGAGTAGTCACTGAACCATAAAATGAGATCAAGGACAATGAACATATTGCAAACGGAAACTTCATAACATAAAACATTTATATACAAAATATGAAGCATCCAGGACTTCCACCTTCTAAAATATAAAGCTTTTAAGACGTAAGCTAACGCTGCCTCCGCCGCCGGATAACTACCCCTATGTCAGGCTTTCTGTGACAGAAGTCGCAGGCTCGACAAAAACCTTTGGTTTTGTACTCCAGCTGAAAATGTTGACTATAGATCATCTTCCACAGATGTTGAAATGGGATTATGACACTTGTAATGAAAGCAGGTGGAAATGATATTTTTTTTCTCATTGATATATTTAAGATTTAAGCCCATTTAAGGAAAATAACACATCTTCTTCCTTGTTCTATATAAAGCATTATTACTGTACTCACAACAAACTTATCAAAGTTTCTCTTAATCTTCACCGAACAGCTTGCAAATGTAACACTGAGGAATGATCCAGCATCCTGTGCATTGTTAACATGTTGACTCATTCTTACCAGCATATACATGGAGTAACTGTAAAAAACATATTACAATTATGTTCCTTTTTTAACAAACTACCGAAGTATACATCTTTTTATTATACTTTCATAAACCATTTGTGATGGAAATAACTGGCAGATAAAAGTAACCTCTATATAGAATTTTATTCCACAGCATGTTGATTTTTATTGCAACATCAACGTTTGATTGGTTGAAACTACCCCATGTGATGTCGAACAAAACTTCATAATCCCTTCTGAGTATCATATTCCCCTCTGATCGTCGGGATTGTCTTGTTCGACGTTACCTGCGGTTAATGTTTTAAAACGTTTTTTTAGGGATAGTATATTAATTTCTATACAAATCCATGGTTCTAACAACAAACAGAAATGAATAAAATTAATAATTATCTTTCAATCGGTACTGATTATATATATCATTGTGTATGTTGTATTTAGTTATGAAAAAACAAACAGATGAGAAAACAATTATGTAAATTAATATGTTATGTTCAGAAGTAAAAAAAAAGTATATGCAGTGGAATAAAACATTCATTTCCCTTGACTTAGGGAGATATGAAGATTTGTTCACCCTCGAAAAGTCATATTTCCCTCGGGCGATGCCCTCGTGAAATATGATTTTTCTTGGGTGAACAAATCTTCATATCTCCCTCAGGCACAGGAAATAAATGTATAGTATATACTGTATTTACTTACTTAGGTTTACCTGTAGATGTCTTTGGATTTTCATATCATATGGTTGATGTTTCATGAAAATATACCTAACATCTTGTACACAAATTAGTCAATTATTCAAATTCTGTTCATAGCTACCCTATTCTTTACTGGGTTCTTCTGTGTCCACAATTAAATCATTGCTCTGAAGACATCATAGTGGACAATCTTGTATTGGTATGCATACTTACAATCCATCCAACTTATCAGCATAAAAAATAAATCCCTCTAGTTCTTCCTCAAGGTTGGTAAATAATTCTCCCATCATTTTTCTCACTTCTTCATTTATCTGTCTCCTGTAAAATACATATAATTTTTTTTTATTTCACAAATATCTAAGATTACATAAGAAAAATCAGGTAACCTATATTTTCTGTCGTTGGCAAAGAGATAAATGTTCCTCATGTTCCTGCAAAAGACATATCATTGTAAAAATTTCCAAAGAAGAATACTATCTGCTGCACATAAGTAAAAATATTAAACCTCTCATCATAAATGTAATTCTAACAGTAAGAAAATTGAACTAATATAACTAAATAATTTAATTTTGGATGTAACGCGTCTTCCGATTGACTGACGTTGTTTTGTTTATCAGCTCATAGACATAATTTTGTCATGTGACCTTGACGTCATCAACGTTTTTTCATGATTTACTCCAGTTTAAAATGGAGTTAAGAATTAAATTATAAGAAATGACTGTAATATTTTTTCTGTCTATTCGAAATAACATAAAAAATGTGGTGCACACTTTAAAATAACCCGCTACGCATGTTGATTTTTATTGCGAAATCAACATTTGATTGGTTGAAACTACCCCATGTGATGTCGAACAAAACTTCATAATCCCTTCTGAGTATCATATTCCCCTCTGATCGTCGGGATTGTCTTGTTCGACGTTACCTGCGGTTAATGTTTTAAAACGTTTTTTTAGGGATAGTATATTAATTTCTATACAAATCCATGGTTCTAACAACAAACAGAAATGAATAAAATTAATAATTATCTTTCAATCGGTACTGATTATATATATCATTGTGTATGTTGTATTTAGTTATGAAAAAACTAACAGATGAGAAAACAATTATGTAAATTAATATGTTATGTTCAGAAGTAAAACAAAAAGTATATGCAGTGGAATAAAACATTCATTTCCCTTGACTTAGGGAGATATGAAGATTTGTTCACCCTCGAAAAGTCATATTTCCCTCGGGCGATGCCCTCGTGAAATATGATTTTTCTTGGGTGAACAAATCTTCATATCTCCCTCAGGCACAGGAAATAAATGTATAGTATATACTGTATTTACTTACTTAGGTTTACCTGTAGATGTCTTTGGATTTTCATATCATATGGTTGATGTTTCATGAAAATATACCTAACATCTTGTACACAAATTAGTCAATTATTCAAATTCTGTTCATAGCTACCCTATTCTTTACTGGGTTCTTCTGTGTCCACAATTAAATCATTGCTCTGAAGACATCATAGTGGACAATCTTGTATTGGTATGCATACTTACAATCCATCCAACTTATCAGCATAAAAAATAAATCCCTCTAGTTCTTCCTCAAGGTTGGTAAATAATTCTCCCATCATTTTTCTCACTTCTTCATTTATCTGTCTCCTGTAAAATACATGTCATTTTTTTTTATTTCACAAATATCTAAGATTACATAAGAAAAATCAGGTAACCTATATTTTCTGTCGTTGGCAAAGAGATAAATGTTCCTCATGTTCCTGCAAAAGACATATCATTGTAAAAATTTCCAAAGAAGAATACTATCTGCTGCACATAAGTAAAAATATTAAACCTCTCATCATAAATGTAATTCTAACAGTAAGAAAATTGAACTAATATAACTAAATAATTTAATTTTGGATGTAACGCGTCTTCCGATTGACTGACGTTGTTTTGTTTATCAGCTCATAGACATAATTTTGTCATGTGACCTTGACGTCATCAACGTTTTTTCATGATTTACTCCAGTTTAAAATGGAGTTAAGAATTAAATTATAAGAAATGACTGTAATATTTTTTCTGTCTATTCGAAATAACATAAAAAATGTGGTGCACACTTTAAAAATAACCCGCTACGCGGGTTATTCAGTGTGCACCACATTTTTTATGTTATTTCTTCATAGACAGAAAAAATATTACAGTCATTCCTTAAATGGCTGAAACCCATTTGAAAAATGGGCCAGTTATAGTTATTATAGTGTTTTATACCAGTCTTCCTGACGCATGATGCTGGCTGCTTATATCAATAAGTTGTTTTTTTTTACCATGCATGTCCTAGTCATATAATTACATAATTTGGTCAACACTGAACACTTTTAAAAAACCTACAGTGATCAACATGTGTACAATTGTGAATTATTTGTAGAGTGCCATGTAAAAAGAATTGTGTACAAACTAACTTACAATGTTTGGCAATAGTGAACATTGTCATTATATGTAATACAACAATACAGCAAAGAATATATTTTAATTTTAAAAACTCTATAAAAAAAGATTCCAACGTGCGCAGTCCTGGAGCTGAAAACACTTTTTCTCTAACTGAAAAATAAAATGTCCTCTGAGTAGAAATAGCTTTGTACTTATCAACACATAATACTTTGTATATAAATTTGGAGCTTTTTACTAAACCATGAATATTTATATGTAAACAGTAAATCATGCAAAACACAAAACACAAAACACTAATATAAAGTACATTTACAACAGAAAAATGTATGAGCACTTTTTCATGTATAAGACAAAGAGAGAATTATGTTATTTAATTAAAAAAATGTGATTTTGTATGAAATTTAAAAGACCATGAACTTTTTCCTTAAATCAATTAAAAATACAATTAATGTATATCTACAATATATACAATCATGTCATATAGCTCCTAATATTTCTACATTTTATTCATCCCAGGCTGTCTAATATTTTGGTTTGAACGATTCCTATGAAGGTCAATACTTCAGATGCACAAGAATTAGTATGTTTTTTTTTAATTTTTCTGACAACAAAGAATATTTGTTAAAAACTCAAGGCATTTTACTTACATTTATTACATTTTCATACGAAAAGGAAGTATAGGTGATATATTGGTTGTATGTATATTTTTTGCCTCTGTTAATAAATTTGCCCATCACTCTTTTCAAGGACTTAATATTTTTGTTTTCATCTACACCTACACAAAAATGTACAGAAAGGAGTTTTTAGTAGTTTATTCAGCTGTTTTGTTTGAATATAATTGTAAATAGTATTAATAGGACCCTGGAAATAAGATTGATGTTTATTTCCACACTAATGGTCAAAAGTCAAATGGTGTTACCCTCTCTAGATCTATTTGTGTTAGTTGTATTGTACATTTTTTATATTTGTTTAAGTATGTTTGTCAGTTGCAGCTTTGTACTGTAGAGTAACCCTGAACCCTTGGCTCCTGTTTGCCGTATTATCAATGACACTTTATACAGGCATTCCTGTACTTTGAGTAATGGCATAAATAGTAAACTGACCTCTATATCCATATAAAATATTCGGACAAAATTCTTCTTTTTCAATTTCTCATTTAATTCGAGAAGAATTTGCTTTTCAATTCATTGTTGTTATATATTAAGCCTGAGTTATCATTAATGTATTAAAGGAAATTTTCTTCATTTTTTCAATTCATTTTGGACATAGGAGATACTAAATAGGTTTGGGGGAGGACAGTGTCGTTAGTATTTGTGGTAGTCTTGAAAATAATAAAAAAAAAACAATTAAAAATATAGGGTATGCTGAAATTTTAGCCCTGTAGATGACATGTTTATGCTGGTGAAACATGTTTAAAAATTTGGTAAGGAATCTTATCTGGTCTATACTGGGGTAAATGAGTCTTGTTTGTGGAGGTGGGAAATCTTGCATGGAAGCCACATAACAACAATCAAACTTGTATGCTTTTCATTGTCAATGTCTGACTAACATTAGCACAGTTCTACGTTTCTGATATAAACCTTCACCTAAATTTTCCATAAAATACTTCCTAAAATATAAATGTCATGAAACATATTCATATGAGGTATTGAAAAAAAAAGTTGAGGTGTTCAATCAAATGGTAATTACATAACCTAAAAAACTTATTGTATATATCAATATACTTTACTCAATGACTAAACCCGTTTTTATTTATGTACACTGTATAATTCATAGCCATTTTGTATGCCATACAAGGCCTTCTCTCCTAATATCCTGCCCTTAAATACAACATGTTCTTAAATACCATTTGTCATATCTTCAGATATTGAGATGAAGTGAGATTAACCTTAAGTTTGAAATTTCAATTCATATACTGTTGTTCTATCAAAGAGAGATCAGAACAGAATATTTTTTTTACATCAGTAATTCACTTTAAGAATTTGATCCTTGTTTATCTATAAATCTTCTGGTAGTGTTTTGCTTTAAGTAAATACATGGCATATTATAAAGTTTGATTGCTGATTTTTTTTAGTTTCATGAAAGCACCTGTCTTCTGCAGAAGATCACATGGTGACTTCTAGATGTGATTTTCTGCGTTGTTGGATTGCTGTCTCATTGACCTATACACACCTTTTATTCATATTATTGTTGGTGACCTAATATTTATTCTGTATTTTAGTTGTTTTTATCTTTATGCATAAACCCATTATGTGTTGGTCTTCATCACTGAAACTGAATGCCCTGCTCTGAAAAAACTGGGGTTCAGTTCATAAAAGTTTATCCTTTCATTGTATCAAAGATTATTTTTGTGACAAACCAACACAACAGGGGTAGTGTGACATTTTGTTAAAAGTTCTCAAAGCAGTTTATGAAGCTTATATGCAAGTAACAAAGGTTTATTTCTCCTCTTTTTTGAATATTCCTGATTAGTTATATCAGAGTATTAGAAGAATGTTAGAAGCTTATATCAAGCTATATACATTATTGCTTGCTTTTCTAAACAACAGTTAAGCTTTAATAGACAGAGTAAACTTTTTAATTTCAAATTTCAAATGAGTCTTATTAAGGGATAAAATAATAAGTTTACTTTATAAAACATACATGTGTTCATCTAATATTTTACAAAGGTTGTTATTTCTATTTTCATTTCCGAAGTTTTAACGTCAAGAAAAAGGTCAAGTAATACTTTCATGTCAGGAAAAGGCAGTAGCATTTATATGTTAATTTTACCTAAGCAATTTCAATCTGATCATTTTCTAAAATTGTCTTGATATAATTTTGATCTAATTTACTACTTTAAAGAAATGAGTCATATGTTAGTATAGCATTGATACTGTAAAAGAAGTAAGATAACTGTCAGATGTAAGACATCAGAGCTTATTACAACATACTCATCTATGTGCTTGTATACTTAATTAGCTACATGCTCAACTCTGGGTAAATAAACAATAATCATTCACATGTGGCTTAACAAAATAAAATGAATTCTAGGTTTCTTTCCAAAGTGTGTAACATAAGAGTGCTTGTCAATAGCTTTTTATTTTGGCTGATGATATCCTAAACTTAAGATATAATAATTTAGTCTTTAAAGTTCTCTTTATCATGTTTATGGTCCTCCACTGTCATAAATAATACATTTAAAGAATAACAGGAATCATGAACAATATGGACAGTTACCAACAGACCACACCAACACCCAAATAATACAAAATTATTCTGTGAAGCTTGTAGGTTTTTTTTTCATTTGAAAATTCCAGTTTGGATTTATGTGTAACTCAGCATTAAGGTGGCTCGGGTGTCTTCCTCCATCTTGGATTCTAAAGTAGCAGATAACGTTGGTCTAGATCTTTGATTAAATGTGCAAATTTTGAGAGTAGTATGCAATTTATGTGTTAGACTTTTGATATAATTATAGAAAATTGTATGTTTTATCATAATTATTGCTGTAATTTCTCAAAAACACCTTATTTGTGTTTAATTATTTTTTTTTCCAACTTTGCCAAATAAGGGGAGATAACTCCGATAAAGTCAATTTTATTATAGAAAGTGTTGTGAATTTACCTATTTTGATCTGTAGCAAGAAAACAAGTTCAATGACCCTATTTTTTCTTTTTCTTATCTGAAAGCATGTTGTAAGAGCTATCTTCTCACATTATATCTTAAAATTCTATCAGGTAGTTTTCTTTTTATCACACAAAATTTGATTTTCCATGCATTATCTATACAAAATCTGACAATTTTGCACTACCTGTAGCATGAAAAAAGTCCAGTGACCCATACTTTTTATTATATTTTTTAAAAAAGCATGATAAATACTTCATTTTGACAAATTATTAAAAAAATCTATTAATTTTAATTAAGACGCCCTAGCCACCTTAAATATACTGGTTAAATTAAAGAATTCTATCCTCTAGTGTTGAAATTATATTGTTAAAATCTTACTCTATGACAGGAATTTCTTTTCTTGGCATCCATATATCTCCTGTCTCAGCCTCTTCTTCCTAGAAAAGATGGTTCCAACAATATATGAAAACTTCTATATTTCAACATCATTTGAAAAAGAAAATCATCAATAAAAACTACAAAGACATCAATATTTAATTGAATGCACTATATTTATTTTATTTACACTGGATTCAAATCATTTTTTCACATTCTTGAAAGCTTAAGCATTTCTTCTTGAACTATTTTTAGCTACTGACATGAGTTAATTTAGATTTTCATTTGATTAAAAAGGGGAGGGGGTGTTTGTATTGAAGTAGCTATAAATGATTTCTATATATAGCTAGAACTATTGTACAATTAAGTCAATTTGAACAAAAAAAGAAATCCACACATTATTTTCACATTTAAATAAATTAATAACATTTTTAATGAATGAACTCAGTAAACCATATTTGTCTAGCTTTTAAATGTTGTGTATTTTGAACTTGTTTGTATCTGACATAAATAACTAATCATTTTCTAATGTAGAATGTGTATTGGAAATTATCACATGACTTGTGTTATAAATAGAACAGGTTATTTCCATTCTACCTTGACATTATCAAAAAGGAAGTTTCATTATTCTTTAAGTTTACAAGATAAAACCATTTATTATATACGTTTGATGTGAGTATACATGTCATTACCATGATTAAACTAAAGTATAAAATACACTTCTCAATGTTCACATAGATAGTGATAAGTTGACCTTAAAAAATATTTTACTTTCAGTTTACTACTTCTCCAAAGCTCAAAATTATATTTCTATCAATAAATATCTGATATCAATCACACATATATACCAATTTATGCAGGTAAATTATATTACTGCATATCATTGGTAATCAAACAACAATAGGCGGAACCAGGAGGAAAAATTTGGTTGATTATTTTGGGAATCACTGAAGCATGACTGGAGCAGGCTCCCTTAGGTCAGTCAGCGGGATCCTCCTTATGAATAGTTCTGGATCCGCCACTGTTATTATGGTTTTCACCAAAAGGGATTTAAAAAAAACAACAGGATTTCATACAAAATAAGCACACCCCAGCTCCTAGTTGGTAATTAATGTCTTTAACATTAATAATAATGTCACACAAAGAAATCAGTTAACAATGTTAAAATTACATTTAATTCAAATGATAGTCAATCTGTCATTTAGACATTATCTGTATATTTTGTTGATTTTAGATATATATCATATAAAGTAATGAAAACAAATTGAGTAATCCTAATCTGACATCTGGTTTGTGCTTAAGAAATCCTTCTGTGGATTGCTAAATATTTTCGTCGGTATCAATTTTCGGGAATATGAGTTGATTGGCTATATTGGGGAAACTTAATTTTGATTTTCATCATTTTTATTTAAAAGATAAGTGTTATGTATTACTTACTATAACATTATTGAGAGTAGAAGGCATCTGTTCAGATTAGCATTTTATTCTACACTAAATTAATCAAGCAAGTTAACAAATTATATATCGCGACAATTGATACAACTGTGGTAGGTAGTAGTCTAGGCGGTGCCATATGGTTTTCATCACTTTGAGGTTACAGTTCATTTGATAACCATTCATAGTACCTTTAATAGTTTATATTGACAGTTTCAATTAGACATAACATTTCCTCCCTTCTAATTTTCGAATTCCATAGTAAAGTTATAGTATGCGAATGATAAGGTCATTGATAAAAATCAGCTGTTCAAGGCACGTGTGGAAAGAATGAATGAAAGAAATTAATTACTGTCTATGTGTATATAAAAACTTTAAGTATGAAAAACACGTATATCATGCATCCAAAATATTTATTCCTACAGTGATTGCAATAGAAAAAAAATCATTTTCTCACGCCTAACATAGGTTGTAAAGGGAGTTATTATTACCCTTACGGCACTACAACCAATTTTACAAATTTAACCTAGTAACCAGCCTTCTGGTTCTCAACGGATATCTTCTCTGAATTGGTTTTGACAAAGGTAGTTTGCTGTCTTGTTGTTTCAGTTGTAGATCTTGTGGTTGCTCAGTTGGTTCATCCGGAATTATCTCTAGTTCAACTGTTTTGTCATTTCTAATTTCTTCTCCCTGTTTATCGTGAAAGTCTGAGTTTCGTACCTGGTCGGCATAACGTTTCCAGATACTGTTGGGCGAAACTTCTACCTGATAATTTAGCGGTCCTTTAATTTTGGTTACAAGTCTACTTGTACATTTATTTGGTCCACGGTAATCGCGTACGGCTACTGTTTCTCCCTCGGGAAATTGTCGTAAAGTCTCTTTTAATTGCAATTTTTATCTGCTTATCCTGAACTTGTCTATTAATATCTGGTTTGAGCAAGTCAAGTCTGTTGCGTAACTGTCTACCCATAAACAACTTAGCAGGTGTTTCATTCGTTGTACTATGGGGAGTATTGCGATACGCAAGTAAGAAATTTGCTATTTTTTTGTTTAATTCTGAATTTTCCCCTTTCATTGCCTTCATGCTCTGTTTGAAAGTCTGAAGAAAACGTTCAGCGAGTCCGTTTGTTGCAGGATGGTAAGGTACACTCTTGATATGGGTTATTCCCTTCATTTTAGTAAATATTTGAAATTCTTCTGACACAAATTGTGGTCCGTTGTCGCTAACTATCTGCTCTGGCAATACTGCTCTCGCAAATATAGTCCTTAAAACTCTGATTGTCTGTGTTGAAGTGGTACTTTTCATCGGTATAATTTCAGGCCATTTAGAATGAGCATCAATGACAATCAAGAACATGTAATCAATAAATGGTCCAGCGAAGTCAATATGTATACGTTTCCACGGACTTGACGGCCACTCCCATGGGTGAAGTGGTGACTGTTTCGGGTTACGATGGTACTTTTGACATCCGGAACAACTTTGCTAGTGATTCTATCTCAGAATCAATACGTGGCCACCATACGTAGCTCCTTGCTAATAATTTTATTTTCACTACTCCTGGGTGCGCAGAATGTAACAGTTCTAAAGTTTGCTGTCTAAATTTTGTCGGAGCAATAGTACGTACTCCCCACTGTAAACAACCTTGACTGATTGAAAGTTCGTTTTTCCGGTTGAAATACGGTTTCAAGTCAATATCATCATTGACGGTCCAACCTTTTTGTATAAATTCATAGACTCTTGATAAGATCTTGTCACGCGCAGTTTCTCGTCTAATATTGTTGTTTGTTAAGCTTAAATGTTCTACCTGCTTTAACATGAAAACATCAACTGCATCAAATTCCTCACCATCTGATTCTGTACATTCCTGTGGTATTCTCGATAGCGCATCTTCGTTTGTGTGCTTGTTAGTGTTTTTGTACTCGATGTCATATGTATATCCACTTAAAAATAACTCATATCTCTGTAAAAGTGCTGCTAAAGTGGTAAAATTCCCTTTTTCGGATTGAATATTGACACAAGCGGCATATAGTCTGTTATCAGTGTAAATTTACGACCATACAGATAAGTATGAAATTTTTAAACGCCGAAAATTATACCTAGAGCTTCTTTGTCGATTTGACTGTAGTTTCTTTCTGCTTTATTAAGTGATCTTGACGCAAAAGCAATATGGCGCTCCGTTCCATCTTGCATTTTATGTGACAAAACTACCCCTAATCCATATGGAGAAGCGTCACAAGCCAATCGAATAGGTAGTTCTGGGTCATAATGACATAGAACCTGCTCAGATGTTACCAAATCTTTGGCCCTCTTGAATGATACCTTACATTTCAATCCCATTTGACATATTTTTCTAACAGTCTGTGTAATGGGCACACAACAGATGAGATATTTGGTAGGAATTTATGGTAGTAATTCATTAATTCGAGAATTGAACGTACCTGAGTAACATTTTGTGGTTCTGGTGTGTCCAAAATCGCTTTAATTTTATCCTCAGTTTTGTGTAATCCATGCTTATCTATTTTATGTCCACAAAACTTGATTTCATCTTTGAAAAACTCGCATTTGTCCTTATTAACTGAAAGGTTGTACATCTCTAATCGCTTCATAACTGTGTCGAGGTTCACTAAATGTTCTCGGTCATTTTTACCGGTTATAACAATATCATCTAATATGCATTGCACTCTTGTCAACCCTTGGAGTATTTGATCAATGGTTCTCTGCCAGATCGCAGGTGCGGACGCTACACCGAATAACATTCTGTTGTACTGATAAAGTCCTCTATGCGTATTTATAGTCAAGTACTTCTTGGATTCCTCATTCATCTCGAGCTGTAAATATGCCTGTCTTAAATCTATTTTCGAAAATTTTTCATCTCCAGATAACGAAGCAAAAATATCGTCAATTCTAGGTGAAGGATATTGATCAACTTGAAGCTGCTGATTAATTGTGACCTTAAAATCGCCACAAATTCTCACGACTCCTGACTTCTTCACGACAAGCACAATAGGCGTTGCCCATTCACTAGTTGTCAAGACGGTCGAGCTCTTGTTCAACTTTCGGTCTTAGTGCATACGGTATCGGTCGCGCCTTCATGAACACAAGTTTAACATTATCTTTCGTAATTAAATTTCCTTTAATTCCATTCACACAACCGATGTTGTCACTAAATACGGATGCATTTTGATCAAGCAATTCTTTTGTTTTCTCAGTAACATTTTCAACACTTACTTTGTTGATTTTGCTCCAGTCAAGTCTGATTTTTCGTAACCAGTCTCTTCCAAATAAGATTCCTCCTCCTTTTTGTACGACATAGAGCGATAATATTTCACTTTGGTCGTTGTAGTTTACATTTACGGCGATTACTCCTGGTTTAAATTTCTCAAAATAACGTCTGTTGAATCAAGCTTACGATTCGGAAACATTTGATCAAATTCCTTCTTTGGAATAATCGAGAGAGCGGATCCTGTGTCCACTTCCATTTCAACAGATTTGTTGTCGATTTTCACGTCGACAGTTATCTCCTTTGTTTTGGAATTCACTGTATAAATCCCTACATCATTGTTTCCTTTCTGTGTATCTTTGTTTACGAACACTGTGTAAATCCCAAATTCATCATCCTGAGAATCATCATTATTAAGTGAGTGCATATTCCGTTTAATCATTTTACTACGACATGCTGCTTGAATATGTCCTTTCTTCTTACATTTATGACACGTTTGATCTTTAAAACGACATGTATCGGCTTAATGTCCTTGCTTGTTGCAACGGTAACACGTTATAAGTTTCTGTTGATGGAAGCTAACCTTCGGTTTTTTACTTTTAACCTTATGTACAGCTGACTGGTTGTTTTCCCTGTAGCTCCAATGCGTCTTTTGTAGCTGTTTCCATCGCTACAGAAATCTGCACAGCTTTTTCTAATGTTAATGCTTGGACTGACAATAGTTTTCTCCTGTTTCTACCATATGTGTGTAACATCATACTATAACAACAATTTGGTTACAAAAAAAGCTGGCTTTTCAGCAGTATTGTATTATCTATAGACATAATTGGAGTTTTACAATTAGAAAACTTCTGATTTCATTTACAAAATAAAATTTACATATTATGATAATGAACCCTAACAATATGAATTTTTGCACTTCCTGAGGTAAAAGTAATATACAAGTCTAGTTAACATGATATGATTAGAAAACATTTGAGACTATAGTAAATGTTCTAGTTAAAGTGAAAAAACTGAAGTTTACAGTTGTTTTCAATATGATAATTTAATACTGGAGATTATGTTTATGTTTTGTCTGTTACATGTATATTAAAGGATGGACAGGGATGATAAGAGACGATACTTTATAGTCGGATCTGTTATAATGGAGGTTGTCACACCGTTGTTCAGGACTAGACTTGAAAGAGACTACACTAGTAAAAGACTAACAACTCTACAGGCTTTCCTAAGCACACAGACAGTAATACACATACTGTTTCATCTCCGTCACAGAAATGCGCGATGCTGTGTTGATGGGCATAACTGTTATAACCATCCATCATTGCCACTTATCTATTGTCAATGGAAGCGGTTATATTCAGAGAAACCTGGCCATGCCCTTCATGATTGCCACTGCAAGTTCACAGCTAATCCTGTTCAACTAGAAGATCTTGATATCACCTTATCCAGCCTGATTTTGTTAAACTGCAATAATCTGACACCAGCCGATGATGAAGCAGTACGGAGCTTACGACAATACAAGAATGACTACCTGAGTCACAATACCACAGGAAGAATATCACAGACAGAATACAAGAGCTTGTGGACAGACCTGACAAACTTTGTCCTACAACTTGACCCTAGTAAACAAGATGACTTGATAAGGATTGAAAAGCGACCATTGGATGAGGCTTTGTGTAACAGCTACACCCTTAACCTACTAGACATTCACAAAAAACTTGATGAGGTAACTTTCAATGTTTTTGTTATTGATAATAGATTTAAAATAACATTTGTCAATGGTGATGTTAACAGAATAAGTTGAACAGCCATTCAGAATGTCAGAGAGATATACATTGTCATTTAATTATGGCTGATACTTTCTATCTGTGAGGCAAATACTTATATTCTTAATTTATGATAGCTATTTTTATTTGTGAGCATTCTCCCTCGTGCACAACTATGATTTCTATCTTTGGATATCTTTTTTTGTCCTTTTTGGTTTATAACTCTTCATCCTTTAAACAAGCTTTGGATTTTCAAATATTTGGCCTCGACTATCACTGAAGAGACATTGATTGTCGAAGTGCGCATCTGGTGCTGAACAATTGGTACGGTTTATGTTATCACAATGAAAACAAATTTCAACTGATTTGTTGCGTGACACATAACTTACTTTTCGATAAAACAATCTATTATAGATTTAAAATAACTAGTACTAGTATACATATTTGTTTAGGGGCCAGCTGAAGGACGCCTCCGGGAGCGGCTTTTCTCGCTGCATTGAAGACCCATTGGTGGCCTTCGGCTGTTGTCTGCTCTATGGTCGGGTCGTTGTCTCTTTGACACATTCCCCATTTCCATTCTCAATTTTATTATAGTCTATTTTATCTTTTTATAATGCTTACAAACTATTTTATTAAACAATTTGTCGCTAATCTGTATTGATATGATGATCCAACGTCACATTACAGCGACACCCAAATTAAGGCTCACATAACATGTTTATGCCTAGTTATTTCATTTATGAAAAGAAAATTGCTAAATGTATGAAAAATAAATTTTCTAAAGATGTAATAACAGGTACTCTGGATTCCTTATTATTCGTTGGATACCAATTTTCGTGGCTTTCGTGGGTACAGGTGAAACACAAATTCAAATGTTCAACAAATATTAAACATATTTTCAATAGGCTTCGTATACAGAGATCGGCAAAACCACAATCAAATATCCACAAAAATGCAAGTTTTCAGCAATCCATCAAAAATCGATACCCACGAAAATAAATGAATCCAAAGTAAATGAAGAATGTTTTTTTTCTTCATTAATATATATCAAATTGCTCAAATTAGACTGACTGTTTAAAAGAAGCTGTATAATTATGTTTCGTATGGATTATGAACAGATATATCATGTTAAGGAGGGGTATTTGCAAAAAATACCAGTCGAGAGAATGTTAAATTTCGCGAGCCGTAAGGCGAGGAAAATTCATTCTCAAGACTGGTATTTTTTGCAAATACCCCTCAAGAATATGCTATATCTGTTTAATTACACCGAATGTTAACGTACAAAACGCATTGATGATTGTGACATAAAACGCATTGATGATCGTGACATTACAAGCGTCCAGTCGGATAGAGTATTTTTTGGCAAATACCACGGCGGAGAGGGTAAAAAAGGCATATCCTTTTTGCATATACCCCGGCGCTGTTTAGAAATGAACGATATTCATTTGATAAAAGTAAATTGGTGAAAAATACACTGGCTATCAACCAATCAAAACCCAGGATTCTTACATAAGGTGTAATTATATAAATCAATGGACCAAAGAGTAGACTTATTTTGCCACTTGAATGCCAATTTTCAATATATTCTGCAAGGTACTTATCTAAAACCAGTAACATCAAATTTGGATTTTTTATGATATCATGATTTCTAAATTAGAATATTTATAACATAAAGGTTGATTTATGAAAAACATATATGCAACATATGTCTACGTTCAGTGTAATAATCATGTCAACCAATTCCTAGCGGATCAATTAATAGTTGTTTGTCTAATGTCCAGTGACAAATATGTCATGCATATTCCGAAAGATTCCTGTACATTATTTTTATATTGAATTTCATTGGGCCACATGATTTTTTTTGAAATATTATATTCTTTCAAATGATATGTATCTGAGCAAAGAACAAAAATTGTTGATGTGTATAGTATTTTTGAAAATGAATTGAATAATAGAGTAGATACGGATGGATTTAAATCAACATTATTATTGTCAATTAAAAAGAATTTTAGCAATAATTAGTCGCTGTACAGGACAATTGTGCATTTTTATAAGTTGATAAGTTGAAACAGCTGTTTATTTCCCTGGATAATCAGTGAAATGGAGTGTAATAGAGTAAATCAAGATCTAGAGAAGCTTTGACTCTTGGTGAAACAAGCAAGGTTTGATGAATAAATAATATTATGTTAAAAAAACCCTAAAAAACATGATATTAGAAGGATTGCTGAAACTTAGATTAAATATATCTTAGATCTGTTTGATATTTGACCCGACTATATGATGGTTCAATGTTTAAGTTTAGTAGGATAAAGTGAAATAGAGTTGCAAATAGATATAAGAAGATGTGGTATGAGTGCCAATTAAACAACTCTCCATCCAAGTCACAAATAGACCATTATAGGCCAAAGTACGGTATTTAAGTCAGGGCAAGTATGATTGTCTTTACTGAAAATAAAATAGTTCCAGAATACATAGCTTATGTTTTTACTTTATTTTCAGATGGATAATTCAATCCAAGGTATAAGATCTGACATACAAGGGCAAAATGCTTATATGCAGGTAAATACATTATTACATTCATTACCGCTTACTGCATCTTGCTGACTTTGTAACTTTAAAAAAAATAAGGTGGAGTAGTAAAAGCAAAGGAGAAAACTATTAATAAAGACAATAAACTGTTATCACAGAGATATGTCTCGCTTTTTTGTAATTTCGATAATGCAAATGTTGAAATTAAAATAGCAACACTTTAACATGTAAGTTTTACAAATATTCAAAGTCAATGAACCATGACTGAAGGAACATGGCTAAACAATCTCCATGGTAATGAGATATGCCAATGCTAAAACAACTGCATACCAAATACCATTGACCTACCAGTAGTGGTTCCCCATAAACCGACCTAATCACAAACTAATACATGAAAACTAAGCAAAAGTTTCAAAAGTCAATAGACCATGACTGAGGGGGCAGGGCCAAATCATTTCCATTTTAATGAGGTATGCCAATGCCTCTACAACTGCATACCAATTATCATTAACTTACCACTAGTGGTTCCCCATAAACTGACTTAATCACAAACTCATACATGAAAACTAAGCAAAAGTTTCAAAGTCAGTAGACCATAACTGAGGGGGCGGGACCGAATAATCTTCATGGTAATGAGATGTGCCAATACTAATACAACTGCATACCAAATATCTTTGACTCACCACTAGTGGTTCACCATAAACTAGACCTAATCACAATCTAATACATTGTTGACGCCGACGCCGCCGCCGCCTCCGTCGTCGCCGACGCCGGAAACAGCATACCTATGTCTCGCTTTTTGACTCCATCAAGCGAAACAAAACAATTAAAGTTGTGAACAAAGACAGAACTGTTTACAATTATATATGTAGACTGCTCTTTGTAAATACAGCTGTTTCCCAAACCATACCTCTTTTGGGGAGATATATAATATTCATACATATTTTGTTTTGTTATTTTGGATAGGAACTGAAATTTTGCATTTCAACTGGCAAACATTAGACTACTTAAAAAGTTTTTTTGCAAGGGATCCTTTAAGTGGAAAGAGTGTGGCAATCTCCTCATAATTACATGAGAAATTAGTATGAACATCCCTATTCTGATCATACATGGCCTAGCTTTCACTAATAAGAAGCAGATAATCAGACATCCCCTCATCAGCACAAGTTTATTTTGCCAGGCAAGAGTCAGGGATGACCATATTTCTATACCCCAGTTAACCAAGAAATTTTGAAATCCACAGAACATTTTAAAAACATTACCAAAATTTTTAATTTTTTACATTCACAGTATCCTATGTTTTATGCTGTGATTTTATCATATCCAATAGTATCTCAAAAGAACATAAATCACAATATACAATGTAACAGCTGTATTGACTCCACTGAAATGGGTTTTATTTGCACATGTTGTTATAGATGTTATATGTATAAAATTTATTTTACTTTACAGGAGATACTTCTATACATCAGACAAGATGGGTGTTCTAGTCAGTGTGGAAACTCTGAACTACAAAGTATGTATAAAAATATTGATATTTAAAGGTTATAAATAGGTTTTTCACAGTGATATACAAATTATAACATTTTGTTTTCTGATCAAATGAGTCTGATACTATTGACCAAAACTACTTTGACACTTCAGTTCATTTAAAGGCTTGTCATGATGTGAACCTCTATGTTTAACTTATGCAAGATAGTAATTCTGGTCATCATAATTAACCAATTCTAAGAATGAAAATAATCCTATATAATACACAAATGAAAATTAAAAAAAAGTCTAATGAGCATTCATCCTTATAAAAGCAGCCTTTTTCTGAAGAACATCGATTAAAACTTCTGAAAACAAGACTATTGTTTTTATTTGTTCACACTGAAAAAGGCTAGTTGTTACTGCTAATATCTTTAGATTCAGTAATAAATACAACAAAACTAAAAGCATATTCAACAAATACAATAATACATTACGTGTAACTTCCTTCTTTCAGACAAAGATCACACAAACAGTAAACAATACACACTAGGACAAGATGTCTTCCAAATACAACATCAGATTGACCTGACATCAGAGATTGGTAAGGGAATCCAAGGAACTGTAATAGATATAGTGATGATGGATGATGGTAGACTGGTGATGAGTTTACCTGGGCAGTGGAGACTACTGATCTGTAATACAGATGGATCACAGGTAGACAGTTTCCATGTACATTGTAAACCATATGATATTACAGCAGTCAATAACTCTACAGTAGCTGTAACGGTGGTCGGGAGTGAGTGTATAGAGATGTATGACATAAACAATAAACTCAAAATTAAATCAATACCAGTACCTGGAATGAAGTGGTTAAGTGGCATTACAACTATAAACAACAAGTTAGTTGTAGGTTGTGAGAACAGACTAGATATCATAGATCATCAGACAGGAGAGGTGGTACAGACAATAAAGACTGACTGTTACCCTTACATGTTACATGGTTCTGGTGAGAGAATATTCTACTATGATACCTACTTCAACAACAACAAGCTGTTCTGGTACAGTTATACTGATGACAGACATTACACCTTAACATTACCATCATCACTTTTGAGTATAACTACACTACAAGATGGTAGTCTGTATGTGTTGTGTGTAGGTGTATCAGTCCAACATGTGTCATCTGATATTAAACAGTTTACTACTGTCAAAACAACGGGACTTGAACAATTTGAATGTCCAGCATATAATCCAAAAAAAGGACAACTGGTTACAAAGAATATAAACCAGAACATATTCGATGTATTCTATGAGAAATAATGGGTCTAGGTTACAAAAAGAATTTTAACATTTCCATAACATTTTTTATGGAAAGAAAATAAAGGTTTCAGTTTTGAATGTATTAGATATATAGACTGTTTACTTTAAGTTCGTGTGATAATGGTGGCATTTCAATAACAATAAATGAGAAAAATGTAAATACATTAAGGAAATTAAAAGAAAAAGTTAAAATTTTTATGTTTAATACAAGAAAGGTAAATATCAATGAATATACTTCTTAAAAAGTACGTTTTGTAATTTCAAGATTGTAATGTTTCCCTATACTGACCATACTGAAAACACCTTTTCAGCTTTTCACTGCTTCGTCTTCCAGTAGTGAATAAAGATTGTGAGTAAATATATATTTTGATAATAAAGTTGTTCTAGTATATTTTTGTTGCTATTTCTAACAAAATTGTATGGCCATAAAAAGACCAAGCATCAATGTATATTTTAAATGTCCATTGCAGCAAGATATAACACATATTCATGGTCAAGATTTTTGGGAATGCATTTTAAATTTGCTCACATCAATCCTGGGTTTAAAAAAAATCACACAATTTTGGACATTTTGAGATGACTTGAATTTTCAGGTCTTTTTCCAATGTCAAATTATTCACACAAGATTCATGGCATCAACAAACTTGTATTGACTGGTTTCATCACATTATGTCGTGCAGTTTCTAATTTTTTTTAAACATTCAAGAACTATTAATGGAATACTAAACTACGAGTGATTCAAAATGTATTTACAGGATGATGAAATAATTTTACATTTTACAATTAAGTATCCAATCTGGTGAAGACAATTTCACACATGCGTATTACATAGTAAATAAAGCACATGTTTAACTAATGGAAAATCATTTTTTCTCATGTGTACTGAAAAGTTCTTAGTTTATGAAGATAGTTGTACCGGAATAAAATTTCTTTCAAATATCAGTTTTGAGCTTGATCACTTGTGCTGTCAAGTGTGAAAAACATTAGTTAAAAGTGTTTAGCGATCATTATCCAATATCAGGAGGGCTCTCAGGGTTATAATACTTTTCTGCAGTGGTCGTTTTATTACTGGAAAAGCATTTCATAACAAAATTGAGTGAAAAATGGTGATTTAGAAACCTGATCTCAATGAAAAGACCAAAATTATGTCTGTAAAAAAATAAAATTTCACCAACTCCCACTCTGCTGTTTAGGACAAATATCTTTCAGTTTCCAGCTTGATTATATGCTGCAAATATGACCGTTTCCGAATGAATACCCATGCTTCAGATACATGATTTGGTGACGCAGTTCGCAAATTAAAACAATTTATTTTTTATGTTGTAAATATTGTTATTTATTGAAAGCTTGTAGATTTACAATAAAAAAAGTCTCATATTTCATTCTTTTCACATTTACATTGGTTCAGGATATTAAGCTAATATGAATGTATTATGCCTGCCGGTTGAGAAAATTACCAAATTTAGCAGAAAGTCAAATCACAAAAATACTGAACTCTGAAGAAAATTCAAAACGGAATGTCCCAAATCAAATGGCAAAATCAAAAGCTCAAACGCATCAAACGAATGGCCAACAACTGTCATATTCCTGATTTGAAACAGGCATTTTCTTATGTAGAAAAACAGTAATTTTTTCAACACACCTTTTACGTCTTACTTTTGTAATTTTAGAAATTTTGCGTGTATTTGTTTTTCAAGTTTTTAAACAATAGCCACCGATGCAAGATTCGATATTGTGATAAAAGGAAATGCTTTCAAAATTTAAGATTGAAAGTTATCCCTTTTCAATTTTTGCTTAAATATTTTGAATTTACGGTGGTAAGATGTTTGTTTATATTGAAAAACTATAACTAATGGTTTGCTATATAAAAAAAAGAAGATGTGGTATGATGACCAATGAGACAACGCTCCACAAGAAACCAAATGACAGTGGTGTAACAGTACAACAATATCAAAACTATAAAAATCAGCTGAAATATTAATCAATAAAATAAACTTATACACTTAATTTTTGATATAACAAATAAATAGAATGTTTTTTTTAAAGAGGGGTGAGTTTAGTTATAACCTTACTGTTATGAACTTCTCATTTTGACAATCACAAATAATGATGCTGCCGTAAATTACATAAAAGTTTCAAAAATAATAACATTCTTACATTGACTTCTTCTTTATCCTTCATTGGATCTCCAACCAGATAAAAGAATCGGACACAAAAATCTTGTTATGCCAAACAAAAAGGCTCCAACTCGCTCAGTTATTTATCAAGTACCTACAACAAAAAACAGGAAAACAATATTATTTACCCTGCAAGGTTTATTAACATATAAAACTGGATAAAAATATCTAATGATCACAGGTAATCACACCTTGCAGCAATGTTATTAAAGGTACATGACAAAACCTAAATTTTAATTGAATGTGATCTATATTTTATGTTCAATGGCTATGTGTTAAAATCTAAAAAGATTTAGCAAAATGGTACTTTAATTGTCACTTTAAACCATAACAAAATCTGAGTCTTTTGATTAACTGTAAAAGGTAACGTCGATGTCATTTAACTTTACACCTAACTTTCTTTTAATTTGCATTTCAAGGATCCATGAAATTTAAAAGTTGTTAGAATCATTTTCCTTGCCAAAAAAAACTTGAACCAATCTAGTCAACTATGATCTGATCCTCAAAAATGAAATGCTTCAAAACTCAACATTTCACCTAATACCGGTATTATTAAAGAAGTGACAAATTCAAATTAAGCATCTCTAGCACTATACACAAAGAAATATACGACAATGGCGACCCTGAAATTTCTGTTGTCCGATTTTGGCGCCAAACTAAAGGGAAACAACTCGCGCCTGACAAAATTACCGTATTTCACCAAAATAATTAAAATTTCGCTTTGTTATTACTAACAATCATACGTTAAATAAATTTATATTCAGATATCGTCCATTAATATAATTTCACACATTATTATATTAAAGCGATCAATAAAGAATTCACAACAAAGTAATTAATGGAGTGCATTGAAATCAGACCGTATGGGGTAGAGGGGTAATACAAAAGCCCGTAACATTTTTAAAAGCCTTGTGACCTCCATTTTGTTTTACCTTAAAATGTTTGAAAAGTTCATAGTTTTGACATATCCGTTTTTAAAAAAAAATCTACCCGAGAAATTTTACGAAAAATCGATTAAACCAATATTTTTAGCCTTAAACTGAAATTAGAATTTGGCAAAATTTGAACATAAATCTATAAATAAAAGGAATTTTAAGCATAAAACAACCAAGGGAAACGTTTACATTTAGAATTTTAATGTGTTTTCACATAGTAATCATACTGACTTAGTTCTATATCTTTGAAATTGATGTAGCCCTTATTGTTGACAGGCTGGAAATGTTTGAAAGTAGGGTCAAAATCGCACATTTCGCTTCCTTTTGAGGAAAAAAGGAACTGGTGACCCTCTTTTTTCTTTGCATTTTTGGATTCAGCATAAAAAGATCTACAAAATATGTGAAAATAAAAAAATCTACCGGGGGTCCTTATTGTGGTGAGCCACCTTAACTGACAGTAAACAGTGGACACTACAGTGAATGGTATAGTTTTGCAGCTAAAGTGAAAATATTAGAGTTTAGAGTTGTCTTGACTATAATAATTTTATAGTGTACATAATGTTTATTTGTTGTCTGTTATATTACAGGATGGACAGCGATGACCAACGACGATACTTTATTGTAGGGTCTGCTGTAATGGAGGTTGTAACACCGTTGTTCAGGATCAAACTTGAAAGAGACTACACCAGTAAAGGACTAACATCTCTACAGGCTTTCCTCAACACACAGCCAGTAATACACATCCTGTTTCATTTCCGGCATAGAAATTTGTGATGATGTGTAGATTGGCAAAACTGTTATAACCATTAATCACTACCACTCATCTACTGTCAATGGAAAAGATTATATACAGAGAAACCAGGTCTTGTCCTTCATGATTGCCACTGCAAGTTCACAGCTAATCCTGTTCAACTAGAAGATCTTGATATCACCTTATCCAGCCTGATTTTGTTGAACTGCAATAATTTGACACCAGCTGATGATGCTGCAGTACAAGGCTTACGGCAATACAAGAATGACTACCTGAGTCACAATACCACAGGCAGAATATCACAGACAGAATACAAGAGCTTATGGACAGACTTGACAAACTTTGTCCTACAACTAGATCCTAGTAAACAAGATGACATGATAAGGATTGAGAGGAGACCATTGGATGAGGCTTTGTGTAACAACTACACCCTTTATCTACTAGACATTCATAAGAAGCTTGATGAGGTAATTTTCATAATGAATGTGTATTTTATATTGATAGATTAATTCACTAAACTATGTTATCTCAAGACATATTTCATGTGTTGGTGGTCATATAATAAAAAGAATAAGAGGAAGATAAACCAATATCCAGTCAGAATGTAAGACATGTTATAAACATTGTGTATTCCATTCAGGCTGATATTCTCAGTTGGTGTGGCATATACTTATATTTATTTATGGTAGCCATTTTTATATGTAAGCATCTTACAATGAAAACAAATAACCCGATACACCACAATTAATTTGTAGTGCATTTCTATAAATCAATAAATACAATTTAAAAACATCCCATCTACGTTTTCATAATAAGATTTTTTAAGTGTAGTTTTTGACCTATTGACATTTATACCTATGATGTCTGTTTGTTTTGCTCACACAGTGTTGTCAATATAATGGAATTTTATGCGACTGTCATACAAGTGAAAGGTTTGGCTACATTTTGTAGCTATAAAATCAGGTTTAATCCACCATTTTCTACATAAGGAGATGCATGTGCCAAGTCAAGAATATGACAGTTGTTTTCCATTCGTTTAATGTGTTTGAGCTTTTGATTTTGCTATTTGTTTAGGGACTTTCCGTTTTAAATTTTTCCTTGGAGTTCGGTATTTTTGTTATTTTACTTTTTACTACTTTTGGGACAAACTTTAAAATTATAGTAAACTACATAGCCTCTTACTCAAAACATGGTCAATCTTATGTTAAGGGGTCATTAACTAGATTTTATGGCTTCAGGCATACTAATTTTTTACCTTTTCTTACTTGACCAAATCATTACTTTACCTTAAAATAATACGTGACCCAAATTTTTTTAGTGTAATAATTTAATCCCCTTCTTGCTATTTTAGGCATGAAAAATGAAGAAATAAATTGAGAAGGTGTATGAAAAAAATTTCAAAATAATACACTGTCCAGTTACTAGGGACTATATTTCAGGGTAATGCAAATCCAAGGATGATAATTGTGTTATCAGACTAAATTACAATGGAAACAAATGAAAACAACACGTTATACATTTTATGC